ACGGGTATTTAAATGTGGTAAAAATTTTTCAAACATTGGTTTGTTTGCTTCACTTCACGATAATCTTGCTCAGGGTATTGTGTTACGTTCCGCAATTCCAGTAACGCCACCAGTTACACCTGTACAGCAGAAGCGTAAAAATCTTATGTGTGAGTTAACTTTGATAAATGCTTCAACTAAACATAAATTTTAAATTTCGAAAGAACCAAGGAGAAAAAAACAGTAAATGGAAAAAATAAAATAAAAACAAAAAGAATGTGCTAAAAGATTTTGCATAAATATAGTAAAATTGTGAAGTTATGAAAAAAATAATGAAAAATTATAGCAAATAAATTAAAGCAAAAAAAGTGTTATTTAGATTTTCAACGAAGGTCATTTCTAAAGGTTTTTACATATTTCTCTTTTTATAGTAAGAAAATAATAAAATAATCTTTCTCCAACATCTTCCCGATATTTCTCGTAAATTGCATTGGCTCATTTTTATCTTTTAATACTACTCTTAAGTTTATGATTATTTGTTAGCTTAAAATATTCGCTAATAATAATGTTTCACCTTCCTTAAATGAAAGATGCTATCGTGTTGCTAAAATTACTTTCAATCTTTTATCTACCCTATCAACATGAAGTGATTGAATTAAACATATCTCCTTTATCAGATCATATACCATCAAGTTCATCATATCTTCTGGAAGCACTTGCCTTAAGCATACCATCAAAAGCACTGCCGCTATCATTAACATCAAAACAATTGGTTCGATTTCGTAGTATGCATAATTTGCATCATGATTTATTGGCAACAACAGCAGCAACATTTTACTCACTGGAGCAATTGAAAAATAATTTAGCAAAAACTAATTGTAAAAGGTAATGATAATTGTAATAGTTGAAATCGTATTTAATGGAATACCAAATATTGCTTTTTTCTGTAGGCATCGCTTAATTTCAACTCTTTTCAAAACTTTATCGTTGTATTTATTAAAGAATGGGGTGCAAATATGTCTGAATAGCAAAAGCTCGAAATAGAACAATAATTCATATCAATGAAGATTCGATTCTCTACTCGCCTAATAATAAAACTTTGAACGAAAAATTTTATAAATAATGCTTCTTTCATTGCGCTTTTTTTTCTAATAAAATGAATTTAAACTTTAAAGTTTCTCCATTAATTGTATATATATGTCCATCTCTTATTGCCATTGTGGATATGTAAAATTTACAGATCATGTTACATTTTGATAGTATTTTAGACAAAATTTCTTAAATTCATTAGATTAGATATCTGAATGGATATAATTGATTCCATTATTTATAAGAGAGAAATATTTGATACTGCTTAACCAATAATTCGACGTTACATACTTTTAAGCTTATATTTATTGAATGTAAATTATTATAAATGATAAATGATCAATAATGTGATAATCTGTATTGAAGTTTGAAATTTCATACTACACTCCCTGATAACGCTATAGGATCATTTTTACGTGTGAAAAATTTCCATATGCATTAAAAATAATTATAATCAATGATTAAAAAGAGGATTAAAAACCTTTAAAATGTTTATACTTATTGCACGATTTCTTTCTATACATATGTATACATCAAAAAAGAGCATCCAATGAATTAAACGAAAATATTATTTCGTAAAGAAGAAGCGTTTCATTTTATCATAATTGATAAGCAAAAGATAATAATAAACTGCGCTTTCAATGGAAAAAAAAATGGATGGAAGATTTATAGCACGACAGAAAAAAAAGAAATTAGACAGAATATCATAAAAAGATCTATCAGAAGGAGCACATTTTAACCTATCCATTAAGTTCATGGTATAATGTTAATGCTTTTTATAATCTTCATAATTTGAAATATTAATTTAAAAGAAAAAAGTCTAAAATTGGAAACTCAGAATAGAAGTAAAGTGAAGTAGAATTTCGATCCATTTTATCCAGTTTTTTTTTCAACTATTCAAATAGAAATTGATTTTGAAAAATTTATGAAAATTAATTCAGTGGAAAAGCATGAAAACGAAAAAAAAATGGGACTATTGCTTTTCGTAAACTACTACAAAGCATTTCTTTGGAGGGAGAAAGAAAAGCGAATACTACCATAAGTGGCATGATATATGTGTAATTAGTTAAAAAATAGCTAAAGTACCATTTGGTATGATAATCACTTTGAGCTAATTTATGCGTATCGTAAATGCATTAAATTATGCAAATGAAAGATTGAATGGATGTACGATTGGATTACGTATGAATTGCACTGATGAACCCTGAATAAAAACGAGAGTGATGAAATTGTTGCGGAAATAATAAATGAAACGAGTGAAGCAGTAGTCGTTTTTATTGTGAACTGTTATCTAATCAGATGAATAATTCGGCGCTTATAAAAAAAATTTGTTTTTTTTTCCTTTAATGAATGAAAGCATCCATTATGTATGTGTGTGTATATGAAAATATTCAAAATTTATGAGAGAGGAAAAATAGAAAGATTATGCATTTTTTCCCTTTCTTTTTTTGCAAATGACAGAATTTATATAGTGAAATAAATGAGAATCTATATCTATGTAACATGGTAGAATTTCGTAGATATAATAAGCTCGAAAACGATGGAATCGTCCAAAGTTCTACACTGATATATACCAGTCATATTACAGTTATGCAAAAATATAAGTATCGTAATCGAATAAAATAAAATCCAGAAAAAATATATATAGATCACAAATTTTCTAAATCTGGATGGCTACACACTCCCGATTTCCGCATATTTCTATACAAATTTCACAAAAACAAGATAATTCACATATTCTTTAGAGGCATTTGAATTTTTCCTGTTATCCTTATTTATACAGTGATTTAAGATCAATTTATTATAATTTCTGTAATTAACTTCTCACATAATTTGAATCAGCTGAGGGATATATACGAGAGAACACTGCAAACAATGAGAAAATACTGCAGTGACACTTACA